GCTTTTAAACTAGATGACCAGTATACGTCAAACACAATATCTTTTCTCGTATAAGTACAACTATATGTTTGTACTTTTGGGACTACCTCGAGTTCTGCATATTCTCCAAACGTCTTCGATATCCGCGGAGGCAATGAACTGATTAAAGCCGATCCGTCCAAAATTATAACGTCAGCTTCTGGCTCAGTATCAAGAGGAGTAAAGGTAGTCTCTAGAATTGTCGCAAGCTGCGATTTCTGACAGCTGTGAAGATTGCCATTATCACTCAGAGCAGCGGGAAAAGATTGATTCTCATGCTGACAAAAATCAAAAATTCCATCAGGTCACATTCTGTAGACTGGCAGGATATAAAAAGTGTAGAGAACAGAGGACTTTCGTTCTTTAAGTGTTTTTCCGTTGAAACACCCGCTTTCGGTTCTGGCTTTTGCCGAAAGAAATCTGTCTTGTTCTTTTTTATTGGCTGATAAAATGAACACTCCTCTTTATCCAGCCCTTTAAAGAACTTATTTAAGCGAATTTAGATCTGCAAGACAGAATACAGCAGTATTATCACTACTTGTTTTTGTCTCCACTATGTAGGTGAGAAGCTCTGAAAACACAAGTGGATATACCTCCCTTTCTTGAGACAGTTCACTGTTATTCTAATTTTCAATTGTTAATAAATAAGCCCTCTTCTTGTTGTACAGAGCTGTTAGACAAGAACAATGATACTTCAGCTCTTGTGCAAAAACATCGCCTCCACTACGTACAGCCAGAAGCTTTCCATCTTTTAGGTTTTTGGCGCATTCTTTTAACCTTTTTTTTTATCAAGCTGCATTGTCATAGCTTGTCGCAATTCAGATGTTGGATTTTCCTTCTCGCATAAAAAACACGATTTTCAATGCTGGTTCTTCTAACCCTGCTGTGTCCATCGTCTGGAGAAATCTTACGACTAGCTGCCCTCTTTTTTGCCCTGTCTGGCTTGGTGTTAAGGAACAATAGCCTACAATAATAAGAGGGGGATGTTTGTTGAGATCATGTAGTAGCCATCACTTTCCTTGCTACATGAATAGTGAGTTGGTGGATATTTTAGATCTTCACCTCTTTTGTCTGTCTGACAAAGGCAACATTTGTTCCAATCAGTCTGAGATTTGGATTGCAATGGGGTCACACTTGACATCCTGATAATACTTATCTCCACAATTTCAATATATTTCTATAAATCTTTTCAACGGTTTAAGGCCGAGGGAATACCCTTTTCCCACCTGAAACTATATATAAAGCACATTCAGATATGGGATACAACTAGGTTCGAGCATAAACTTACTGCTCTACACCTAGCCCGATCGTTCATCCAGTGTCATTAAAGTCCCGTGCGATTTGTACACCATCCGGATAACTTATGCCCCGTTATCCTTGGCTCGGCTCTCCCGTGCTGGCACATCAAATCAATTCAGATGCGTTTAGGACACTAAGCTATACAAAAGTAATTAATTAGCTGACACTGAACCTCATGCTGAGTTTCACAGCTGTGGTGTCACCAGTGTGCCCTGTTTGTGCTTTGACAATCACTCTCTTTCTCCCGTAAAGGATAGTTCGAGCTTCAAAACAATTTAAATTGTATTTATATGGCTTCTCTGTAAAAGCAAATGTATCATTTGACCCAAAAACCATGAAGATGGAACTACTAAGTCAATTTTTAACAATAAGAATATATTGTTGTAATCGGGATTTGCGGCCATCTTGAAAATGTCCGCCATTTAAAAAAACAAAAAGGGTGGCTAACGGGTTTTTTCAAACAAGTATCCTAAGGGGAGTTTGAATGCAAATTGTTATGCTTGTATGACAAACTGAACGATTTTTCGGAATATTGACTTAATCTGCCGGGCTATACGGGCGTATCATGATTCAGCTCGTGGTGCTTTTGTTGTTCAAGTTTAGTTTTCCTTTTTGGCAGTAACTCAATTTTATTGTACAGGTTGACCTATATTTATTTATTATTTTTTTTTACATTTTCCTGTGTTTGTCTTTTCCTCCATCTTACGCCTTTGTCTGTGTGGTTTGGCTGTTGAGAAAGTGACGTTAATAATAGTAAACCGGTTTTATCAATGCTATACAAATAGAACCATATGTAATGTGGACATTGACATATTCTCTGGGATGAGGATCTTGTCGCGCTCCTATGGTATCATAGCAAACAACAAGAGGTTTCAGTTGGTCATTTATAAATCGTCTTCACTTGGCATTATTACTACTTTCATGTGATGTCGGTTTAAGGATAAGGGTCCTAATAACTCAATGATAGGCCGAAATTGATATGCCTACATTACAACACTTGGGTATATATATATATATCATTTTTCTACTTTTTTCGTTCAGGCATTGTTTCCTATGCACCCGTCTTCATATGACGAGGACGTTAAACAAAATTGCAAAAACCTTTAAACGAACTGCCATAAAGAAAACTGTGAAGAAACACCGTTGGTACCTAGCTTGATAGTTTACTTGGGTCCACATGTTTTCTTTTTTTCAAATACGTGTGTGTTTATGGGCCGTTAAGAATATCGCATTGTCAAAACAATTACAGCCACTCTTAAAACGTGTTACTATGTCGAGGTTTCGTTGCATGATGTTCTAAGAATGGTCTTTTCTTTTTTTGGGTGATGATTTTTACTTAAAGAAATGCGTAAACTGACGCAATTAAGGCAGAATCTTTGATGCACAACCTCATTTATCAAACGAACTAATTACCACGAACATCCGTCATTCACTATGTTCCACAGACTTCCTGTCCATATTACCAATGCTTTATTGATCCCAAGTGAGATACACTGACGACAAGCAGAAACAAGAATAGTGATTATATATCCCACGACTTGACTGTGGAAACGATTATTAATTGTTCCTTTTGGCTGCTGCTGCTGCTGCTGCTGCTGATCATTTAAATGATATATGGTGTGCTGAATAAATGAAACAGCGTTTGCTCATATAGCACTTTGTGATACCGTTTCTGTTATGTGTCTCTTACAAGCCGTTCGTTCTATGATATATTTGATGATATGACAATTAAACCTATCACAACACTTCGAACCTCTTCTTTTTCTTTAGTTGTTCTTTAGCATTCCTTCGGGTCGCTTTGTCCGAACAATATGACAAAATGTAAACCAGTGCCTTCGGTAAAGCTTTAAAGTGAGGTTAGCACTCAAATGTAGGCATCATAACCACCCGCCTAAAACCATATCTGACATAATTTTTACATACGGAGGAACGTTTGAAATGACGTTAGGTGCATGGAAGGACCAACATTGCATCCTTTTTATTTTTTATCCGTCCTTTTTTCTTTCTTTTCCATCTACTTTCTGTTTTCACTGGTGTCTTCCGAGGCAACCACCCTCATACGACTCAGACTGTTGCGAGGATTTTAAACCGAAAACAAACTAGGAAAACCTTAGCTGTCAATAGAAAGCTCAACCCAATAAAACAAATCTCACATTACCTTATATTCTCTGTAGACGTTATACCCTTAAAATGAATAAACCAAACGCCGTCGTCATATAATGGCCGTAGTTGATGCCAAAAAAATGAAAACAAAAGTCTACCAATTATGCAATATTGTCATGTAACCTAACGCACCTATTGAAAGTCGAAATACATGTAAAGCCTTTTACCAGCTCACGCGGAACTTACATAAATCCTGCTAAACAGCATTAATGATTTTTTCTAGTAATGGGATTGTTGAAAGTGCGGTGATACGCTTGGCGATAAAAAATGATATTGGAAATACTGGATGATGAATTAGATGGGCTTATATCTTTATACTATTATCATAGCTCGAGTGCTGACAGCTTAATGTAATCTATAAGAGCGTGTATATAGTTGTAAACTAGTGTATGCATGTTTTAAGCAAGATCTGGGTACATTTTCCTTGAAATGTAACAGACATAGACGTCTCAGGAGAACCTTTTCTTCATAAATTGTAACATGCTTACGATAATGTCATATTGATAATGCAAAAAAAAACACTTATGGACCACGGAACAGTAATCCATAGGCGAGAATTTTTGTGGATATTGCTTTATTGAAACAAACTGGATATTTCTATCGAGAGGATGAGAACGTACGTTGAAATATTGCATTTCTTAGAAGTTTCATAGTGATATATGTTCCTAGTAATCCATTTTTTGAAATGTAACATACATGATGGCTTTGATATCATTGTGCTCCGAACGAAACATCAATCAAAGCGAAAAATGTCACCAACGCTGTGATACTACATCCTTTATCAAAATGACCAGGTAAGCGTGTTTGATATACGACTCAAAGCCTAAGGATCTCAAAAAATATAGACATTGTTATGTAACTGAAAAACTAGGCTATATCAGATGATAACGAAGCATAAAGGAAAATAATGTATTGCCTGTCTTTTGATGTCAGAATTTAAAAAAAAAAAAAATATAGTAGCGAGAGCAATTGCTTGATGATAAGCTTATTTCCTTTGGTTACTTTTTTATATATAATATTAAACAATTAAAAAACAAAAATGTGAACTGGTCTAAAAACTTGTAAAGTTTGCATTTATCTTAATCTCGTTGCGGATTGGTCGAGTGGTTAACACTCCGGCCTTCTACGCAGACGGCCGGTGTTCGATCCCCGATGTTGTCGTGTTCAGCGAAAGTGTTTTTCTGCTGTCCACACAACTCCAACAACCCAGGCGGAGTATTAAATAGTCTGGGTTGGATGTTGCAGTATATGTGCTGCAGCATTCAAGTGAGGTGGCACTATAAATGATACCGTTGGATGAACGGTCAGAACACATACATTTTTTTAAACATCTCCAGCACACACGCAGGCATACGCTCATAGGGAGATATAAGCTAATAGTATTGATTGTATTAATTGTTTATCTATGTACTGTTAACCGCTTTCGAGTGGATTATTTTAGCTAGCTATTGCTCTATATCAAAAACTACCACATTAAAATCTTTGAATGTTTCAGGTAGCTGGTCAAAGATACGGATGCGTATGCCGCATGAATTTATGATCATGACAATGGCAAATGTGACGGAAATCTGGCAACCTCCGCCGTTCCCTTATGACGGTAACCTGAGCACCTACAATATGAGTGACCCTTACTACTACTATCCACCAAACTACTCTCCTCCCCTCCGTCCTCGCCTCCCTCTGAAATTTATCCACGCCATCATGACGTTTCAGGATTACGGCCTTCCTATCCTTTTCACAACCGGAGTCGTTTTCAATGTAATCGCCATCACCGTCGCCATGAGAACGGAGCTGAAAAAAGTGGCAACCTTTCTGTATATTGTAGCACTCTGCATCATTGACACAGTCTATCTCACAACCAAAATGGTCCACTGGGGATCAGCCAGAGTCTACAATATCAACAACGTGGCGGGAATATGTCAAATCGTCTATTATTGTCACTTCCTGACAACATTCCTCGAATGGTGGATGATCGTCTGTTTACTCATGGAACGTGTGACCATGCTCTATAATCCTGCATTTGCAAGGAGAGTATGCAACCCGTTCAGGACGAAATGTGCTCTTATAACAATCTGTATATTTGCAATTGTGGCACATCTCTACCACACGTGGACTAGTGCGGTATTGTTGGTGCATGGTGGACCAATGTGTACAATCATACCAGAAAACGCAAGAGACGTCATGTTACTCCGGAAGATAGACTCCGTGTTTTCTATGATATTGCCGTCGTGCACTATCATTTTACTTATACTTCTTGCTGTAGTTAAAATAACATGTTGCAAATCAAACAAACAACGAAGCATTCGAAGTCTAAACAGCTCAGTTTCCATTCGCTCACGCAGGTCCAGTCATGTGCAGATCCAATCAGAAAAGTCGTATCTCCTCAGTTTCGACCCAAAGAAATTCACCGAGACCCGGAGACTTTCTTTCTATGCTTTATCCATCTCTTTCTTATTTATGATTCTCTGCCTCCCGCACGATTTTATAAAAACACGTCTTACGCTAGTGGAGGGTTCTTCATTGTCAACAATTTACCAGCAACTGATTTTCCAATTGCTCAGTGAAATATATACAGTGAATTTCGCCTACAAAGGTCTTTTTTGCTTCATCGCCATACCAGAGTTCAGGAGGGCTTTGGTAGCGTTAATAAAACGGATATTGTGCTGTTGTCTTGATAAGAATGACTTCTCTGATGAGTGTAAACATACTGTCGTATAAACAATGGCTTATGATGTGAGACAGTAAATGATAAGCGCGCCACTAAGGCGGCAGCACAAGCTGGCCTGTCGTTGATAAATGGTTTGCCAAGTTTGGCTATATCGACATGTACTATGAAAGAATGTGAAAAAGCAGTTTGGGCCTCAAATAGTAAAATGTTTATGATGAGATCAGTGAAATGACACTTGTTTGACCAGAAGAAGGAAGGATTCGGATGGACATCTGAATGAAACGGTTAAATAACTAAAGCTGCAAGAGAATACACAATACAAATACCTAATCAAATCAAACAATGTGCTTGGTACTGAGACTTTGTTTACTTTATATAGCTACTTCTGGCTGTTTAATTCAGTAAAAATTCCATATCAATAGCAATTTTGTCTACATTTTGTTATATATTAATGATTGTTTTAACCGTCAACCATGTGACAACGTTTTTCATTTGCCAACACAGGGAACGTCAACCGCAAATCTGTTCTGGAACGTACCAATCCATAATTTTCCTATATATAGACCACGGTCGCCTTTTCAGTAAAACTAGTACGCATTTTGTTAGTCTATACATATGTGTAATGACGTAAGTATCGATCTTATATAAAGATGAATTATATAAATCATGACTAACAAGTCATGGAAAAACTAACTATATAATCAGGCTTACCGGCCTTCGTTTATGTCATTTATTTCGTTAGTTCATTGCTTAACGCCCAAGCTACAAAAATAGGGATCAACTACAAAATTATACACCAAAAAAGTGGAAATTAACAGTAGAAGGTTAGAAACTGTACACATAGATACACAGCGAAAATAGTCAGATATTGATTTATATTTCAACATCATTTTAATAATTAATTCCACATCAATATAATGTGTAGGCCTGCGACAATATATCGCGACATTTTGAATACGGTACGATACACAATATTTGTTGGCAGGTTACGATTCACTTACGATATTTTCATGATTTTTTCGTTTCTGAATTAAATATACTCATCCGTCCCAACATGGAGTGACAGCTCTAGCTCGGAATGCACATAGAAAGACGTGAATTGTGTAAAACCTATGCCCATTTTGGATTAAGTCCATTTCAAGTTGTTATATTGCCATTAGAAATTTGCAACCAATTATTTTTTGCATCCACTGTTACTATGTGTATCGTAATACGTATCGTATCGTGACTAGAGTATCGTGATACTGCTCTTCTTAAGCAATTGTTTCAAAGTGTCGACTTGTAACTCTATGCATTCACGGTCTTAACACTGGTATCAAAAACATCATGCTAGTATACGCTTTTCTTTTAATTTTTTCATAAATTTGGTGACCCGGTCTGTATTAGTTTGTGGATGATTAGAACACACCTGTTTATATAAACAGAAAATACCAAATTTTACTTGATTAAATTTTCCCGGCACACAGTTGTATAATAACTAAGGAACCGATCTAGAAGATCTAGATTTGTAAGGGTATTAATGCATTGGCGGTGCTTCCGTTATGTTTCCATTATATGATTCTGATACAAACATACATGTACTCATATTCTAACTACAGTGTATGTATAACGTTTTAATACTGATTTGGTAGTTTCTTTGTGCTGATGCAAACAGGTGACCAATTTACATATAAGATAGCCTACAAAGTGTTGTGGTGAGGATTATTAGGCGTGACGTCCTATTAATAGCTAAGATCATTTGATGACGTGCCTCCATATGTGTTTTGTACACTGTGTGGGTATGTGTGCTATTAGCAGGATATGTTGAAAACTTTGCCTCCTTGCGAAAGCTTGGATCTGATGCCGATTATAGGGTGCTACATCACTAAAAACTAATGCCGGATGCTCCAAATGCAGTATATCATTTACAATTTACACTAATGAGCAAGGTAGTATATATACATTGGCTTAGTATATACCAAGTTTGAACTTTATATAACAGTTAGTTTAGTTAACATTGACCTCTGTCAGACCACGCCAAAACTTAGGCAACGTCGCACCAGCACTGATTTTTATTTGATCATTTGATCCTAAGTTATCATCTGCACAAGCGCAAGAATGAAAATCTGAAAGTTATCAACGATGATCTTAACCTGTGACCTACCACGCCCTAAATCAATAGGGATCTTCGCATCTATTAAAGCAGCCCCGGACCAAATTTGAACATTTTTTTATGATAATTAGTTGTCGAGTTATCATCTGGATTAACCCCTATACGCAAAATTCTGTTTTTAGCAACCATGACTTTCGACATCTGGCGGACAACAAAATATAATAGGGTTCTTTGCATCGACTGGGGCAACCGAAACACCAAGTTTGGACTTTGTATGGTCATTCGTTCCACAGTTACCGTCCGAACCATTACTTCTCGTAGGCAGATGGACAGACCGTTCCTATTTCTACTTTATAACAAACTCTGTTTCTTTAGTGCCTTGTCCTACAAAATCTGAATTTTGGTTTTGGTGTTCGCCCAAATTGGGGTATGCAATGGATTCTGTGCCCAGGCCGGGACATATTTAAGTCCATCAAATGGTAGTTGTTATTCCCTGCTTAACGTTAAGCAATTAGGGTTATCGCAACATCTAATTTATTCATTTTAAAGTATGATATGACGGGGTTGAGTAATTTTATGGATGCCTTCAAAAGGGTATTGCAGTGTGATAACACTCTCAAATCATCAGATCTGCGCTATCATAAAGGGGCAAATAAACCAATACAACCTGCCCCCAGCACACGTGTATACACCACGCACACGAAGGCACGTCCTTTAATGACTTTAGCTGTTTAAAGGACGTTAAAGATAGTGAAGTCAAACAAAACCAATCACGTGACCGCTATATATCCCCGAATTGATTTTTAAATTCGAAATGACGGTCTGTAAAATCACGTTTGAAATCAAAAGATAGAAGCGATAAGGCATTTTTTTTTCTACACAATATGCCATTGCATTTCCTAAACGTCCCACATGTGTAAAAAAAATCCATTATAAGAAATTTGGAGGTATGTATGCAATATTGTTTTTATTTCATTATCAAACTATTACAAACTATTACCAGCAGAAATAAATAGGGAATCAAAGTTGGCAGATGCCTTTAGTCTATCATAATGTATGTATTCAAGGAAGGGTGAAATTGATAGCTTCTGAACGGATTATCAATTAGTAGCCCATATCCGGAAAAGGCACCTTTCACAACCATGACGACAGCGACTTTCTGATCAATGTTTCGAACTCTCAGNAGACAAACACGAACATATCGCAGCCTCCCAAAATACACACACATACACTACACGCATGCATCTTGCACACAGGGGAGGCCGTCCTTAAATGACCTTAGCTGTTAATAGGACGTTAAACAAAATCAAACAAACAAACAAACAAACGAACTCTCAGTATAACATAAAAAAAAACATATTGTATGTTGAATAACTTCGACAAAAAGGCACAGTAGGCATAACATCCTGAATAAGATTTTCTTGTCACGTAGAGTGAAAAATCAACTTAGACATAATTATAAAAAGTGAAGAAAATAATCACTAGCTCAAAAATACCCGACACTGATAGTGGCATACGATGATAATTTCTTCTGACGATTATAGTTCGTATTCTTCCACAAATATATTAGCAACTTGTGTGGTTTTAATTCTCAGAGTGCTGGTGATGTATGGTATCAAGAACTTTAAAACACTATTTTTTATTCGTATATGCCATATTTTGATTGATTTGATTGATATTTCTAACGTTAGATTTCACAAATTAAACGTCGGACTTCAGAACGAGAAAGCATACCAAATTAATAGTTTAACATATTTCATATAAATGAACGTAATGCACACGCAAGCATGTGCAAAGAGTACCTGCATCTTTTGATTAAACATTCACCTGTAAATTGCACTTTATGATGACTGTAACTTGCACTTTATGATGCCAAGTTTTGTATGCTAACACTAGGTTTTAATATTAAATACACTGACTTTGAACCAATGTTTACACGTGTATTAATTCAAAATGACATTACGGATCGACGACATATAGCAAAGACAAATCACATACTCCAAAGCGAACCCTTTAGAAAATGGTCACGATAACAGCGAAATCAAAGAATTAAATTGTAATGTATGCACCAAACCAGCTTTATCACGTTTTTCTTACATTTTCACAAGGGTTTGTTTATAGGAATTAACGTCCTATGAACAGCTAAATTAATGTTTGGATGTGCCTTTATGTGCTTATTACATTCACAAATAAACATAAAGTATCGTATTTGTTTACCACTAAATGAACCATACACAGTAGAGAAACGGCAAGGCGACAAATAAAACACCATCCTGCTTTCAACACTCATCCATACATTTTTCACATGGAGACACGTCCTTAAATGATTTCAATGGTAATAAGCTAAACATAATTAATCCACAAACAAAAAACGAATGGTCTTTTTAAAGCTGGGACAATTTTGAGACAATCTTGATATAACCATAAATATACCGGCAATTTGTTCAGTCTTCTGTAATGTGTTTTTTTAACTGACTTTGAAAAATATTCTTCGAATAGCTAATGGAACTTGTTTTTTATCAAAAACTACGGTCATTTATAAGGAAGTGCCCCGATGTGTGGAGTGTACATGTATGCGTGCATGCAAGTATTTATGACGGAAACAGGGTACATGTATGCATTTGCCTTCCTGTGATAGCGCTGCATGATGCCGACTTTATGGTACTATATCACTAAAATACCATGCCGAAGGCACCCATCACAACATTCGATTTTATTAGAAATTGGAGGCCTATATCATTGTTAAATATTGTTTACAAAATTGCATCAGGTACTATAGCTTATAGGATTATAATTGTTTTGGACAAAATAAGAGATAGCGATCACACTGGTTTTCTATCAGGGCGGTATATAGGTGTAAACACAAGGCTCATATATGATATAATGCAATATACTGAAGAAAATTATATTCCTGGAATGTTATTGACGTTAGATTTTGACAAAAGCTTTTGATTCAGTGTCTTGGGTTTTTATTGACAAAGTCTTAAATTTCTTTGGATTTGGTAAAAGTATTCCATCTTGGGTTAAAACTTTACATTAAAATGCTTATTCAGTCATTAATCAGGGCGATAATCTGTTGTCTTCTCTTAATATTGAACGAGGTTGCCGTCAAGAGGACACGATCGCCCCATTTTTATTTATACTCTGTGTTGAAATTTTGGCCCTCAGATTACGAAATAATGATAACATTCAAGGTATAGAAAATGATAATTGTCCAATATTAGTATCTCAATATGCAGATGATACCTTAATTATCTTAGATGAATCAGAAAAATCTCTGACAGAAGCAAATTGATGAACTTAATGGGTTTGCCAAAATTTC